CCGTCCATCGTGAACGGTGGCCGGAGGTGGTGGTCGGTGCTGGATTGCGGCTGCCGGCTGGAACTCTTTTCCCTCCGGTGAGGGAATTGATGAGAGAGTGGAGAGAAAAATTAAACTTCTCTCCTAGAGAGAGAGAAGTGAAAAAAGAAAAATGAAGAAAGATGGCCTAGGGCCGGCCATTTATGGGTTTAAAAACCCTCTCCCAAACGACGTCATTTTGGGGGGTGTTTCTGTAATTTCGCTTATGGGCAAACACTTTCCGCCACCATCCTAGTTTTGTAATTATTTATTTTAGTCACTGAAACTAACTTCTGAACTTTTTAATTTGGTCTCGTAAGTTTATTGTATTTTATTTTGGTCCTTTCCAGTATAGGTTTATATATTTATAATAAATAACCATATTAGTCCCTTATAATTTTATTAACATTTATTTTAACCTAATTAATTAAATAAGGCTAAATTACATTATTATACTATGACTTTTTATTATTAGAGTTAGAGCCTTTAATTTTAAGGATTTATATTTTAATCACTAAATTAATAATTAAGGGTTAATTATACTATTAGTAATTATATTTTTATAATGATTCGAATTATGTCCATTAATTTAAATATTTTACGTTTTATTATTATTATTTCAATTTTATTTATTTTAGTCATTGTTTAGTTATATTTTAACTTAATTTTTATTATTATTATTTTTTAATATATTTTAAATCATTACTTTAATTATTATTTTATTATATTAGTCTTATAAATATATATATTTTTATTTATTTATTTAATAATGTTTATTTATTTTCAATATCCAAGAAAATGGCAGTCTTAAAGTAACTGGATGCCCTATTCTGGTATTTTAAATAATTAAATATTATGAAAATTATAATTTAGTTTTATTTAAATTATTTTTAGGAAAAATTATTACATTTTTTAATATTTATTTTATTTATTAATATCGAAGAAAAGAGCTGTCTTAAAGCAACTAGAAGCCCTTTTCTGATATTCTTAAATAAATAAATGTCCTATTTAAAAAATTATATATATTTTTCCTTAGAATTATCCGATTAAAATACGAAATAACAAGATCATAAATTAAATATATCTTTGAATTTTTAAATTTTCAATAATAGAGACAATTTATAATTAATAAAGTATCAATTTTGGGCGTTATAGGGGGTGCTAATCCTTCCCTAAAATTAATCGACCACGAATCCTGTTTTACTAAAATTTTTGGTTATACGCAGATCAATTTTATCTTTTAAATTATGTTTTATTAAAAACTATTTTAAAAGATTGTTTTTAGGTATTTGACCTACCTAACTCAAAAAGGTCAATGGCGACTCCCAAAATATATTTTAAATCAAAATCATTTATTTATTAGTTTTATTTTTCCCACCAAGTTAAAAATTTCGTGCCCGGACGAAAATCGGTTACGATAGGTGTTTTGCCAATATTTGCAAAACTGACTTTCTTTTGTTTGCCAAAGATGCAATCCTTACATAATCTGACATCTATACTCTTTAGACTCAGCAACTTCCCTTTTGACAAAAGTGTCTTCATCCTTTTCTCGCTCATATGGTCAAGCCTTTGGTGCCATAGGTTTGATTTTCCATCAGCATCTACTACAGCAATGATATTCTCCAAGTTTGAGGTTACATAGAGAGTACCAGTCTTTTTACCACGAGAAATGACGAGTGCTCCATTGGTAATCTTCCATTCACAGCCTGAAAAGGTTGTACAATATCCTTCTCCATCAAGTTGTCCTACAAAAATCAAATTTCTTTTTAGGTTAGGAATATGTCTCACTCCTTTCAGCTTCCAGGTGGTCTGGTTTAGCAACTTTAATCAGATGTCTCCTTTTCTGACAATCTTCAAGGTTTCATAATCAGCTAGATGAACCTTCCCTAAATCACCACTGACATAGTTCTCCATGATTTCTTGGCATGGGTGGCGTGGAAAGATGCCCCTAAATCCAAGATCCATGAATCAACCAGACTGTTGACGCTTAGAATCATGGCATCACCTGTTTCCTCTGTCACGTTGGTAGATTCTTATGGGCCGATATCTTTCTTCGGTGCTCGACAATCTCTTTTAAAGTTACCCTTCTTGCCGCAATTATAACAGCTAAAATATTTCTTTCTCGTTCTTAATTTTCTCGTTCTAGATTTTGATCTGCCACGATTTGGATTTCTTTATAAAGTTCTCCCTCTAGACTTCGTGTGCAAGGATGAGGAGCTTGATACTTCACCCGATTCTCTCGATCGAATTTCTTCACTCAATACCAGATCATGAACATCGTCGAATTTCAATTTACTATTTCCCAACGAGCTGTTGATTGCTGTAACAGTAGCATTCCAACTGTCTGGTAGAGATGATAAGAGAATTAAAGCTCGAATTGCATCATCGAATTCAATTTTCATGGAACTCAAATGGGTTGTGATTGTGTTGAGTTCATTTAGGTGTTGAGCCATTGATGCCCCTTCCGCCTTCCCTCAAATTGAATAATCGCCTAATCAAGTGAACTTTGTTTGAGGTCGATGAGTTCTTATACATACTGGAGAGAGCCGCCATAAAACCTGCCGTGGTCTTTTCTTTTGCTATGTTGAAAGCAACATTATGGGATAACACTAGTCGGATAACTCCGAGGGCTTGTCTGTCGGGAATAGCCCAGACTTCATCCTTCATGCCCTCTGGTTGTTTTCATGAGAGAGGTTGATATAGCTTTTTCTGGTACAAAAAATCTTCAATCTGCATCTTCCAAAAGCCAAAGTCTGCACCTTTGAACTTCTCGATTTTCATATTCCCTTCGTCTGCAGCCATCGCTCCCACTCGAATCTAGCTTCTTTTAGATCGTTTCTGACAATTCACGCGAACCACCGTGTATTAGAACACCTCCGTCAACAAACTCGTATCGCCGACCAAATTTTACTTTTCACGAAATTCACTATTCATATGAATAGTAACCTCGCAGAAAAAATTGACAAAATTCACCACCAAAAGCTCTTGATACCAGCTATTGGAAAATTAAACGAGTAAATTTCCTATAACCAAATTAATGAGAATGCGAAATAAAAGCGGAATAATAACACACGAAATTGATAATGGAGTTCGGTCAATTATGCCTACGACTGTTGCAGATCTTTTACTAAATGGAGAAAATTTAAAGGTGTTTACAAAAAAACTCACAATTCACAACCCAATTACACCCTGAAAATTGCTCTCAATTTTCTCTCACTAAAGCTTTTCTTTTGTGTTTTTTTGCTTAGATTGATTAAGAACTTGTTGGGGTGAGCTATTTATAGATGCAGAAGCCTCCCCCATTCAATTTCTACCAACTAATTCATTTAATTGACTTTCCTTATTTTCAACAAAGGATGCACCATCAATTGGGTTGTTGGCTTGCCAACCAATTTGGCAACCAATTTCTCTTATTGTCATTTATGGCACCTGCAAGTTTGACCAACATAACCCAGGTAAATACTCATGGATTCATGCAATTTTGCACCATAACTGGTTATCCATGATTCGCTAAATTACTCGAATTCGTTGAATGAAAATCTTAGTCTTATTCCCGATCTCGGTTTTAGAGCATGTAGTACTGCAGTGTTAGTAATTTTTGAATCACATGCATTTGACATGGAATGCACAGAACATAATTGATGGACTGGGAATCACTGGATATGAGGGCATCTTTTTGAGGATTTGTGAAATAACACTCAGTTATGAGGACACATAGGGAAACCTTGATGAGAGTTCTTGAAACTTTCATTCATGATCCTCTTTTTGAGTGGACAAAGTCTCACAAATCCAGTGGTGTAGAAGTTCAGAATCCGCATGCACAGGTTTGGATCATCTCCTTTCTTACTAGTTCAACAGGTTTCTATCGAGGCGAGGTTACAAGGGGTTGTTATCGGCGTTGGAGCCGCACCGTCTCTACCGCTAGCTGTGGAAGGTCAGGCCCGTCGTTTGATTGCCGAGGCAGCCTCTCACAAGAACCTTGGGAAGATGTATATATGGTGGATGCCATGGTTTTAGGAACATGTAAATATCTTGGAAAGTTGTATCTGTATGTGTCATCTATCTGTACATGTGCATGTATATAAATGTCTGAACAAATTAATTATTAAAATTGAATGATGAAAATATTCTTAAGTTTAAAATTGGTTAAGTTATAATATATAGAATTATGCAATTTTATTTAAACTTAAACCAATAAATATTTTGAAGAAGAGCTCATATGAGATCAAACTTCCTTAAAATTAATAGCATTTAAATAGTATTATTTAAATTTAAAATTATTTAAAAGGAAATAGGTTGACTTAAATTACGTAATTAAAATCTAAAGCTTTGTATTTTTTCCCTTTTGAAAGTAAGTGTTTTTATATTTCTAATTGATTTTAGGTGTTTAATTTTTTTTCAAAGTGTTTAATTTTTTTAAAGTAGATGTTTAATATTTTATTTTGGTTTTAAATTAGTTACCAATTTTTGGATCGATGAAACGCTCAGTGTATCATGGTGTTTAATACAACTCTTTGTTTTTAACAAATGTGCATTAATTGAAGTACCTTAACCATCATTCAACGAATTTTTTTAATAATTTTTACGATATATGTATTTAAAATATAATTTTTATAACGTTAAGCATCTAAATTAATCGAAAAACATTCCAGTACTTAAATGAGAAAAGTAGTAACGCTAAAAACAAGTGATTATGTATGTTTATTGGATATTTGGATTGTTTAAGTTCAAAGTTAAGATACCAAATTAAATAAGCAACTCCAATTAATGCATATTTTAAACCGTGAAGAATTACTCAATTATCTAGAATTAAATTAATTTAATTTAAAATAGTTTAGTTCAAAATAATTCTAATGAAATAATTCTAATGAAATAATCTAATAACGATGACTCGAATACAATCCACATATATGTATGTATATGCAAGTAACATTTGTATTAGAACGATTACAAGACCAATAAAATGTAGATAAAATGAAAATTTACTTGTCTCGACAAAATTTACTTCCACATTTGCAATTAAATGCTTTAATGGGATGAGTTTTGTCATCGAAGTGGATGCCATAATCCTGCAATCGATCAATCTGAATGGTTAATTGCATTGAGCAATAAAATAAAAAATAAATGAAAAGAAAAGAAGCTTTTCTTTTTAAATTTTACCCAAGTTAATTCTTCAGCTGCTTCGATATCTCTGGCCGTGAAAAAAGCGAGCTGTTTTGCAGTAGAAAGAAATATGAGCTACTTGAAGACTATTAAAAAGACAAGAATATAAATTAAAATATTAAAATCACACATGATAATAATGATGATCTGGAATCTCCATCTCCACTGGAATCTCCACTAAATTTGAATCAAAACACCTGCGGTTTTTTTTCTCAAAAATCTTATCAGTCTAAAATACAATCCACTAATATAAAGATAGAGAACGACATAAATCAATTAGAACTAAAAATAAAGTTATCAAAGAGTACATTTTTAAAATAATTTTGAATACATTTCGAGTTGAAATAAAAAAAATAAAGTAAATTATGTGTTTAATATCTAAATTATCAATTTTAATATGTTTTAATACCTAAACTTTCAACTTTTTTAAAATCATATCTAAAGTTTAGTTTTTGTTTCATTCTAGTATTCACATTCAAAATTTAACGTTAAATTTTGGAAAAAAATTAAAAGTTGAGGTACTAAAATGGACCAAAACTGATAGTTTTACTAAGTGTGTTAAGTTTTTAACGACAGGATACTAAAATGAAACAAAAATTGAATGTTAGATATGGTTTTAAAAAAAATAAAAGTTTAAGTACTAAAACGGATAAAAACTGATAGTTTAAGTACTAAATGTATAATTTACTCTAAAATTATTACATCATTCATAACAAATTATGCCTATTGCATGACTATTTCAGTTGCAACGTAAAAATATTTCCAGTAAAACAATTTGATAGTATCTGATATATTATCAATTATGTAACTTTTTATAGCATACATGTAGCATTTTTTGTTAGAGTACATCGCAATGTGACATTCTCCATTGTAACCGAAATTATTATCTGAAATTATTATCGGTTGTAATTTTTTTTTAAATAGAACATTATAACATTTTAGATTAAAATTCACAGTATGTTAGACAGTTGCATAATCACCCAAATTCTCATATTTAATATCCGTTTCGGATTATGTTGATTAATTTTAGAGGAAAAAAATGATATGAAAAGCAATGACCATAAGAAATGGAATAGTTGAGTTACCTGTGATTGATAAATCTGCCGCAGTTACCGTAGTTAGTAGCATCCAAACAAAGAGCTTCTTCATCCTTGAGAACACGCTCAGAGCCCCAATCTGCATCCAATAACACAGGATATGTATGCTCTTCCTCTCCACTTCTCTGGTTATTTCTCAAATGCAGTTCATGGTTGGTTACAATCTCCCCCACGTACTCGCACACAAATGTCCCTTTCTTCAATGCATTCACGGCTCGAAGCCCCCAACCCTTCCCTTCTTGGGTGCCAAACACCTAAACACACCAGCCGATTAGAGATATATATATGGACAAAATCGGCAACAAGAAACAAGAAATTAACCTGCAAAGAAGCTCTGATGCCTCTTTGAACCACACGGTTCCCACATTTCTTGTTACAGCCGCACTTGTCCCAGCATTCTTTGATGAACTTTCTCATTAGGTGTCCCTTGCATGCCCTGTTTCTTTTGTACTTTTCCAATGGATTATTCTCCAAAGGGCAGTTTTCACAGTAATAAAAGTGTTGTCTTTTAGGCTTACGTGACATTGTTATGGCTTCGTCTAGAAACTTTTCTTTTAAGAATCCTCCTTTTGTGTAAGCAAATTCCCCTCGGGTCTCTCCGGCGCATGCACATGGTATGTCCGATGACAGACAATCACCAACACATTGTGAACAAATACTCTCATCTGATATACGAGCTAATGAAAAACTCACATAAGCATCTTTGAACACTAAGTTCTTAGAAATGTAGAAAAAGTTTGGCAATTCCATGGCACCATTGTCGTTCAACAAGGGTATTTGTACACCTTCTTCTCCACGGGTTATGTCCTGCAGATTCTTCATGACAGCCTTCAGTCTGCAGCCATGAACCAGTTGGGAGATTTGGGTCTCTTTATCAACTGCAGTTGGAGTCATTGCAGGCTCATTTGTGTTTAAAATCTCTTGTTTAGAAAGTTGTGCTGATGAACAACGTTTGCAGATATCTTGCATGAGCTTAAACACGGAGAAATCTGGGTCTGCGATTCTGTAAATGGTTCGATATTCGTTTTCCACTTCCGTCATGATTGCTTCCAGATTCGGCGAGTCCAAAATGTCTTTTCTGGAAGAGTTGTACGTCAAGAAGATTTAGATGGCTCCATTGTCAGACGAAACTGTTGAAAATTGGTGCTAATGCACATGCACCGAAAGCACGAAAAAAAAGGAGGAATTGTCAAAAAATGGCAGGAATTGTTGAAATTCTTGGATTATAAAATTATATATTTGATCATTATATTTTAAGGTATTTATAAGATTAATAGCTTTAATTATAAATATTTAAATCTATTTAACTTTAAAATTATTTCAAATTATTTTAGTTTTTTTTAATATTATAAAATTTAGAGAATTTTCTTGAAAGTTGTTTTCTATTTTTTATTAAGAGAGAATTGTTATTGTTTTCTCTTTGTTAAATCGAGAGAAGTGTAATTCCTATTTTCTCATAGTAAAATTCTTATACATTTACCCGTAGTTTTTACTCTATATTATTTAGAGAGTTTTTCACGTAAAATTTGTGTCTTTTTTATCTTTATTTTTATTTTATCAAATTATCAATTACGATTTTACTCTATCCGATAGTCGTATTCCGTAACATAAACGATATCTAATTGAGATGTGTCATGACAATTACGACTACGTTCACCCAAGATAGACCCCCTCTACCTTAACATTTGTAACTTTTCTACTGGAAGAACCAAATTCACATGAAATTTGATCTGCACAAAATCAGCAGTGCCATCCAACATATAAAATCCCAAGGGGAAACAAGTTGGACCATGAAATTTGTATCTTTTTTTTTCATTTCATTTACTTTTTACTAGCAAGAAGAAAGGACAATTATAGGCATTTTTTGATATTTTACCTTCTAATAATTATTCCCAAGGAGTATATATGTATATGTACTGCTGGTTAAATCATTTCTCATACAATGGACTATTAGAAGTAGAAGAATATGCACGTACCTTGATGAATAGAAGCAATTGGAGCCCCACTATCTGATGGTATAGATTCATGCAACGCCTGATTCTGGTTCTGTCCATACAACCGGAGGTAACTGTTAAAAGAAACACCAGTTAATTGTGCTTCCCCTTTTGATAAAGCCCAGGTTTTAGTCCTCTTCACCGAACCATCAGTTTGCTTATTCCCAAAGTTGAACCAGAGCGCTTACATAATTTTCCACCATGATCACAGACCTGATTATAATCTGTTTCCTTTTCTTTATCCTTAGATATCTAGGATCTTTTGCAGCAGTATGGTTCAAAAGGCCCCTCTTCGATCACCCTCCTGCACCTTTTCACTACAATATCTGCTTCAGCGTCATCAGACCATAATTCAATAACTTGGTCCAATCCTGTAGCGTTTTGATTATAAGCAGGGCTTCAAATCACGGTCACTGTCGTATTTTCGGTTATTTCAAATTTACTGCGATTGTGGCCGTTGCGGGCGCTATTGCTGCTGTCGCGGACATTATTACGGCCGTCGCGGGTAACTCGGACGGCGACGAAACCGCTATATCGCGGCCGAAATCACGGTCGCGGACCGTTTTTTAAAACCCTGATTATAAGCTTCAATTCCAAGATTCTTCGATCATCTTTTGCTTCCAGTAGGAGCTGATCGTAATAGTATATCAAACACCTCATGTTTTCATTGATATAATGAAATCAATACCCAGTTTTATGTGTATACCTTATCTTCCAGATCTTTTATTTTCTCCTGCAAAAACTCGAAAACAAAAATTGTCATGATTATCTTCAATAAACTCCCTATTATTATCGTCATTGAACTTTTCAAAGAATCACTCACTGTTTTTAGTGGAGCGCCGTTTATATTCTCCATAGCTGAACAGGCTCGTGATATTCTTTCTTGACTTGCAGCCGCCATATATATATATATATATATATACCCACTACTTGCTGCAGCAAACAAACATACGAAAACCTAAACGAAACAGCGCTAGATACGAAACAACTCCAATAAACATGGAATATTACGAAAAAATTATATTTTTTACGTTAGTTGTTTGAGATTGAAGGAGAACATTCCGTCGGATGATATTTGACAAATATTAATTATAAACAATAAACTATACAAGACTTTAGGGTTTTTGTTTTAGCGAAAGAATTGAAACTTCTGCTTTAGGCAATGAAGGGTTGTAATCAAACTCTTGATTTGTATTTGGTTTTTTTGGTTTTATCACGCCAAGTAATTTTAGATTGGTACAAATACAATTGGGGGATTTCTAATGGGCCGGCCTTAACTATTGACCAAAAGAACAGGAATAACTTAGAGAATGTTATTGACCTAATATATTTATTAGGGTTAGGGATTGCATTTCTAAATTTTCAGTTTTTAGGGTTTACACTTAAGTCTATTGGTTTTCCATCGGCCAAAAAGACTATTGGCACTCCTGATTTGGATTCAAGACGTCTCCTATGAAACTATAATTTTCTATACCTACTTAGGGAGTGAGAATGTTTATTTAAGTTAATAAAATATTAGAAGTATCTAGAAATTCTTTAAAAGTTTGTACAAATATGCGTATAATGAATCAATTTGAACGTATGTGACATATCTAACTCAATAAATATTTGTTGAAGGTTGTAATGATGATCCAACTCGCTCATGTTTCTTTATAAAACATCAAGATCAAAATATAAAAATTATTGTATACTTTGAATTCGAACTCCTAAAGAATTATAAATTAAAAAATCCTAAAGTGCTTCAAAAACATTTTAATCGTTTAAAAAGAGTATTCGGAATACAGAATCCTGAAATCAAATTTTGTCTCAACTTATAGATCGAATACTTAAATATGAACTTTGAATGTGTGAACACATATTAAAAGGATCTTAAATAGATTCAATATAAATATATTATATCTATTGAATATCACGATGATTGCAAAAATGTGAATAAAGATAATTTTTATCTTGAAGAGAAAATAAACTATTGGTATGGAAGCAACATTGTTGGTATAAAAACACGGTTTAAGTGCTACAAGATCTTAGATCTTCAAATATTATTAGATGTCTATACAAATCATGTAGAAATAATTGACATGCATAAGATAAGTTGAGAATGTAATTGACTAAGATTATTGATCCAACACATTAAGAAGATATGTGATTTGTTTCCGTATAATAAGATGTCAACTATCTTGTACGAAAATAATGTATAATGTACAACTCGATTGAAAAGAAGATACATCAAAGTAAATATATTTTTCTTTAAAGTTTCTCCCCCATGATATTTAAAAGAATAGTAATATAAGTATTTGATGAATCTATTTAAGGAGTAATTTAGAAGATTTGTTCACTAATACATTATTTATTTTAAAATTTGAAGATTGTATCCAAGATTGAATTGTGAAAACATAAAGATCTTAAATGGTTTTATCATGAGAGAGAGAGAAAGTAAAATACACATTTTTTTTCTTAACTAAGGTTTTGTCTCATTGAGAGCCAATTTGGTAAGGCTTTTGAAAGTGACTTTTAAAAGTGTGATACAAAAGAACTTTTAAAAGTGCAGTTTAAAATTTAACTATTTGAGATTGCTGTTAAAAAGTGATTTGAAAAAGATAAAATGTCCATTATAGACATTAAGTTGTAAATTAAAAAATATAGAATTTAAATTATATTTACACTTATTAATATTATGATATATAAAATATATCAACTTAAACTATAATAAAAAAATATAAAAAATATTTTAAGATAACTCTATTGAGTCAATTGAAGGATGAAATAGCGAAGAGGGGTAGAATTGGCAATTAAAATTTTGTGGAAGCTTAAGAGAAAAAATTTAAAGCAAATGAACACATGAATTTAGAGCGGTTTGACTTTATCAACCAAAGTCTACGTCCACTACCTTGGCTATCCACACTAAGGATTTTCACAAATTCACTAATTTGTATCTACCTTTGAGGATAAGGTGTAACCTTACAACTCTCTCAAGAATTCTACCTTAAATTCTTGAGACACTCTCTCAAAGAGAAAAATTACAAATTTGCAAACTTATAAAAACCTCACAAGGAATGTGTTTGCACAATTCAAGAACAAATAAGAACACTTGATAAATGAATGCAAATGAGTACAAGTAGTGTTCTTTAAAAGCAAAAAGAATATTTGAAGAATGTTGACTTGATTTAGCTCACACTTGAAGTTTTGGCTTTCTCTCTTGTTTCTTGTCATCACAAATGGCTTGGCATCTTGTTCATATACTCCCTCAATCAATTACAACAGTTTGAGTTGTTTTGGGAGTGAATAGAGCCGTTGGGGGCAGTTTTCCCGCATTAAATACTGCTCAGAAGCTATTGGTATCGATACTATATCTATAGTATCGATACTATCGGCAATAAATACAAAAACGTTTACCATTGTAAAGGAACGATATCGATATTGTTTCAAGGAGTATCGATACTACTATATAGAGTAGTATCGATACAAGAAAATGGTATCAATACCATTTTAAAATTTTGAAAAATATAGAGTCAATACCAAAGGAGTAGTATCGGTACTGAAACCATAGTATCGATACTACTATATTGCTTGGTATCGATATCATGCATGGTATCGGTACCATTTTGAGGTTCTATAAGCACGATATCGGTACCGCCTTAGCATTATCGGTACTACGATATTAAAATAGAGTTTTTGACTCGATTAAAGTTCAAAACCTTTAGTAAAAATTATTTCAAAAATATTTCTAGTATATATCTCAATTTTTCATTAAGTAAGGAGTAAAAATTTACGTTTTAAAACTTTAAGTAATAATTGTATATATTCGAATAATTGAATCAAATATAATCTTAAAATTTATAAAAATTAATTTACAAAATTGTTTGGTATATCAAAATATCAAAATGTTTTCAACAATCTTCCCCTTTTGATATAACAAAACCTTTTAGAAATTTTAAGATTTTCTTTGTGAGAAAATTACTCCCCCTTACTTTAATATTTCTCCCCCTTTTTGTTAAATCAAAAAGACTCATTTAGTATAAACAAGATATAAGTATAGATCTGAAGATCAAGATGACCAAAAGAGGTTAGTCAACATTAACAATATTCAATATATATTTGGGCATGGTCATAAACATACTATGACGCAAAATGATGAATAAGAAATGCAAAGCCTTATAAATAAAATCAATAATCCATAAACAGAAATATTCAACCAAATCCAAAGTATCAAAATATCAAATAACATTCAAGGTTCACAATAGGAAATCAACCTAAGAATAACTAGCAAAGAGTAGTAAGCTCAAACATCCGATGGTGGATCAAGATTGTATCGATGTGCTCTAAAAGATGCCACATCTCTAGTAAGCGCATCGAGCCTATCATCTACTACATTGAATCTATTATTCATTGTGCCGAATGTAGCTCGAGTATCCTATTGTAGTTTAGACAACTAAGTTCCCATAGCAGTAAAATGGGACTCCATGGATGCGAACCTTAGATCCAATGTCTCCATAAGCGATCGAAAGTATGGAGGCATCATACTACTTTCTCTATTAGGCTCATCATCGGGAACACGATTTACAGGATCATCGACATCCTGTAAAACGTCATCGAGTTAAGGAACTAGAGTCGGAGCTGCTTATGAAAAACTTGCACTGGGAGTCTTCTTGGTTGATCTTGTCCAAGTTATGTTGTCCCCAGTCCATCTAGATTTTCTAAGAGAGGTAAAGTCTATTTATGTACTAAAAAGGATGGCAACATCTAGGTATACTTTAAGACCGACTTTGATGAACATATTACTAAGTAGATAACTGTATACTAAAGATTCGACTCTCTTAGAAGGTACATTATTGACGGTTTCTACTAGCTCTCCAAAGATGATTTGAGCAAGATTTATTCTTTTATTATTTTATAGACAATGTATCCACCATATATCTATACTACGGAAAGTGGAGTACTTACCTCTGGATGGTCGAAACCACCAAGAGATTATTAAGTGTCGGAATTGTTCGTGATAGTCTTGGACACTCGCACTCTTTCCGACTTGATATGATGAAGGTACGAAATCTCGCTCGTTATCTATTCCTATATTTTCTAAACCAAAAGCATGAGCTATAGAATCAGAATCAATGGTAATGTATTCTCCAAAAAGATAGGGATGAATACTTTCGGTTTGAGTACGAGATTCATTTTGGACACAAATTGCATTGGAATAGAAAATACGGACAAGCTGGTTATAGACAACGGGTTTGACTTTAAAAGTGTTGTCTAATTTCTAAGCTTGGAGAATGGGTAAATATCTGAAATTTATTTGTTGCATCGCCTTAAGAGAGTGAAGACGTTCTCCCCTAATAGGATAAGACTCAAAATGATTTAGGTACCGGGAATAAAA